TATAATAATTGTTTTTTGTAGTTAATAAAATATGACGTCTATTTCTCATGATCAAACTTCATCACAGGATTCCAAAATGTGTTCAAAACAAGATCTGCAGCACATAGAATCCCAAATCATCGACCCCATGTTTGATTTTGTTGAATATAACACCAAACACAAACTTCAGTGCATGAGATAAAGAGGGATTTGACGTGTTCTTTTGATAGTTTATTCCTTAATTCCTTGGTGTTTCAGCATTTTCAATCACACTTAACTTCCACCCTCCACTTGGTATTTTAATTCTATTAATTACTTTGGTTGTTGTTGTTGCTACTTCCTCTCTTCAAATTGGGAAATCCTCATTTTGTCTGCCATCATAACATTTGAATTCCCCATTTGCTTGCATCATTTTTGTAGGAATCAAGTAAAGAATGATTACCAATAACATCAGTGTTTCCGAGATTTTAATTTGATGAAAATCTGATTGTAATTTCAAGTAATTTCGATTTTCTTTAACGATACGGATCATGAAAAACTTAATAAGATAACCTATACTCGCGTATTTATTTGTGCGTATTCGTATCTTTGTAGATGATTACAGGTACGTTTGTCTATGATCACTAAACTGGTTCGTTAATTACTTCTGTTTTGCTGCTTCGATTCTTGTTCATGTGTTATAACCTAATAGCAAATGAACCTTGGTTTTAATGTGATTATTGTTCTGGACATTGACTACCTTGTTGGTCCTCATACACAAGTTGATTTCTAAAAATGAAACCCTAGCTCCGTGACACTTGATGAAACCCTAAGTGCACATACACAAGTTGGTTTCTAAAAATCATGATCACTTGTATAATCTAGTGTATATACAAGATGTGTAATATATATATACAAGACGTCTATATATATGTAAACATCATCATGTTTGTGTTTTGTTATTTTAGGGGAATATCAGTCATCTTCGATCCATCAAAATATCATTATACCAACAAGACGATTCGAGTTCATTCGATCCATTACCACTAGATCATGTGCTCCTTCTAACCCGTCATCGCTACATGCGTCTGCCCCTCTAGAAATCCATCAAGGGATTTCATCAAGACCGTGAAAACCTTTCACATATGTAATTCCTTACGTATCAATATGAATAATAAAAAAAAGGTACGATCGAATCATTAGAATAGACTTTGACCTAGCTATCCATTATACAATTAGTTGGCCACCTAAAAAACAACTTGCAACAATCGATCATTCAACTTGAATTCTTAATTAGTCCTTATAAAACAAGCATTAAAACCTAAATTATAATTAATATAAAGAAGTAAGTAAACAGTTTCGTTCATTTGAATCATTCCATGTTTGATATTCCCACAAAATGATGCAAGCAAATGGGAAATTCAAAGGCGGTGGCAGACAAAATGAGGATTCCCCACTTAGATACTGATCAAGAAGAAGAAGAGTGGAGGCTCCAAAGTGACCGTGATTAGTTAAGAATATATGTGTATATGTATGTGTATATATATATATATATGTGTGTGTGTGTGTGAGAGAGAGAGAGAGAGAAAGAGAGAGTCTACATATATGTATATATGCACTTACACAAGTGTATGAAGCATAGAGACAAACCAATTATGGGTCTCATTCGATGGTTGAGCTCACAAACACAATTTTTAAAAAGACTAATTAACCAATTACGTACTACTAAAAACAGGGCTTTCATCGACGGCCATTTTTTAGGGAAATTTCCGATCAGTCCACTCTCTATGTAGTAAATGGCTCCTTTATGGTGTGTGTGTATATATATATATATATAGAGAGTTTGATTCAAATACTAACCAATTTTTTGTGTTAACTATATTAATCAAGCTTAACCAATCATATTCCATCTTTTCTTTTGGTTCAAATGTAACTCATATATTAAATACAAGTGTATTTAAGTAATTTTTTATTTTATGTAACTCCCAAATAATTAATTGGGAGTTACAAATTTAAAAATATCACAATTGATCATGATGCAATATTGACATTGGGGTTTCACACGTATTCATGTTCTATAATTCACATTTATTTTAATCGACAGTTCTCACATTTGATATATGAACACATCAGAAATCATACAGCCTTAGATACCGTGATTCATAAGTGTTAATGTATATTCAAGTCACTAGATGTTCATATGAATACATACACATACACACACAGAACATGTGAAAACATGTGAACACGTATGAAAACACACAACCCTAGATGCATTGGTTCATAGGTGTTCATGTACATACAACAGAGTTGGCTCTTGAATATACAGAAGATGTTCATACGGTTCACATGTCTAATCTTTTTTGTTTGATGTGGTTTGAAGATATACACAAGTTGTTCATATGTCTGACAACTAGTGTACCAAAGATAGATTACTTTTTACCTAAATACCCTTTAATATTTTGTTCACATATGTTAATTGAAAATATTAATTTAATAAGTAATTTTTAAATATCATTAAATCACAACCATTTATTATTCAAATTAATGGTCAAGATCGGTTAACAAAGTTAACACGATAATCTTGGTTAGCATTTGAACCAGTCCATATATATATATATATATATATATATATATAATAGGCATCATACTACTAATTAAATGTATATAGTTCTCAAATGATTAAGCTCATGTATATGTATATGTATTCACCATGCAAGTCGTATAAAAGCCTTAGTCATGCGTGATTTATTTCGTTGTTTCTAAATACGTAAAGCAAATACTTATGCCGAGCTTTCTATATGTATGCGAGTGAGACACACATACATATAAGCAAATCAATTTAACATAATCTATAATCATTTTAGAAAACTTAATTATTGTGCTATTTTTGGCAAGGCCAGTCAAATAGTTTCGCCTACACCCTCAACATGGGAGTGGCTTCCATAATCAAAGACGTCCAACTTTCCACTTTGGGTATGGACGATGAGTAATAAAAGAGAAAAGCTACTCACTATTAATATTCATATATGAATATCTTCATCATTAGCTAATTGCATTTGAATGTTCTTTAATTCAATTTGCAGCCCGCTTTGAATGGTGTGCTCACTGCCACCTCTCTTAAAAAGCGTAAAGAGAAAAGCAAAAAGAAACGTATAAGTAATTAAGTAGGATAATATTTAACGGTGAACATCCTTTGAGCTACTCTATCTAATGACGGAAAACGTCAGCAGTAGATGTTTAAATCCTCAAAACATAACTAGCTAGCTTATAAGCGTGGAACTCGAAAAATAAAAGAAATCTCTAAAAAAAACTAGAGATGAAACTAAGCAGAAGTTTATTAATCAGTAATACCTGAACTGGAAAGAAAACAATGATCCTATTGATAGGCTAATTTTTGTTCGTCCAACACAATTGAATTAAAATATTGAAGGGTTATTCTCGTGTTAGCATTACATGGTCTTAATGAACATATATGTGTGACAAAAAATTGAGTTTTATCGGTAGTAAAAAGATGTCAAATATTTTATTAATTTTGTAATATTTTCTCCAAGGTTTTTTCATTTTAACATAACTCAAATAAACAACTTTCTTTTTTCTAATTAGGTCGAATTATTTATAAGATATAATTTTCCAATTAGGTTAATTTTATGAAAATGAAATGCTAAAATCTAACAATAATAGTTATTTTTGGCCAGATCCCTCGATGATCTGTAAGGGATCAGCGAGGGAATGTCCAGAAACATGTTCCTTTGTTGATCCCTAGCAGATCAGCGAGAGATCAATGCAGGAATGTCCAAAAACAGATTCCCTCGCTGAGGGATTTTTTCTCACGCTGATTTTCGTTGCTGATAACTGGTTTTCTAGTAATGTTATTCTAAAAGGCTTCTATATTCTTATCAACTTTAACGGTTTTTCTGGAAGTTAAGACAATATTCATGTGGATCTCTTGTGTACATTTTCGATTTTCTATTCATTGATATATAGTTTGGCGTAGTCAACCACGTCATAGAAGTCCGTTCAGACTTTGTTAGGTGACTACAATTTTATGAATGAGCTAAACAACCTACAACCGGCAGAAGCATATGCTGATCAAAGATACTGACTTGAAGTGTGAGGCTAAATCAAATCCAAAAATATTTGTCAAACTGTAACAGTAAAATTTAAAATAACGTTTGTCAGTGTTTTAATTGTACTTAAACTATTTTTACATAAAAATATAATATTTTCATACACAGTTAAATACTTAATTGTATTTATTTTTCCAGTTTTTTCAAAATATGAAATTACAAACTTTTATTTTTATGTTCATATAAGGAGATATTATTTGAGAAACTTTAAATAATAAATCAATTGCATAAGTTATTAAAAGTAATAAATAGTAAATATTGTTTTTTAATAAATATTGAACTTTTACACTTATAAAAGTGAGTAAAACAGGTAATAAATTAATAACGATTTGATTAAAATTTAATTAAAATAGTATTTTACACGACATATTTCAGATAAATCTTATTTCAAAACTAAATCTTGAAATACGTATATACCTAGCTACCCTCTAATATGGCGTACTTAACTATTCATCAAACCCGTTTTTCGATACAATAATACATGCATATACTTAACTATTCACCGAACCCGTTTTTCGATACAATAATACGTGCATAGAATATAAACATACAAATATATCGACAAGTCAAAAAGAAATAACGAATATTACGATTAAAATATTAAAGACTTGTACCAATAACACCAAACGATAAACCAATAATTATACATAAACCAAGGATGAGGATAACAAAATTTAAAATTTTATATCGAGATTTTCTCTTATTTATCGAAGCAATTTTGTTGTCATCTCCATATTTAATTTTTATATTTGTGCTTATTCACTTTAACCTCTTTCATAATGCTGTCCACTAGTTAAAAAGAACTTAATCATATTAGATACCAAGAGCTTGTAGACATAGGTACCAAAGTGTCCTATATATACCCCCTCTCATACCAACATATTGTATAGCCTTCCTATCTAGCAAACCACTATGGCTTCCTCCCTTTCATTTTCAACCACCGGAAACTATGGTTCACGGTCATGCATGCCGGTTTCCGGCCACGGTAGTGATGGTTGTACCTTTGGGCAAGCTAGTTTCCCGAAGAGAAGTAAGAGTAGGGAGTTAAGTATTGTAAGTGTGGCAACTCATTTGCCGGCGATTGTTCTACCACCATCAGTATCACGGAAGGAGGTGGCAAAGGAGCGGAAACTGGTGGCGTGGACTAGCGTCCGGCATGAACGGTGGGAAGGGGAGCTTGTGGTGGAAGGAGATATACCACAATGGCTGGTATGTGTTTGCGTTTATCTGTCAAAATTTGAATCATGATGCACCGATTGATTTATATATATGCATTTTATTAGTGCACCACTTTCACACACATATATGATGTTATTTCAATGATAATACATACATTTTTTCTATATTTAATGGTCTTAATGAAAAAGATCACTAAAAAGACATAACGTTACTATTGATATCGTTTTTTTTAAATTTAAATATCGGGATTTTCATGATTACTAATGAAACCAAATCTTTGTATCGTATTTTGAATCTTATATTTATGATTTATTATAAAGTTCGTTGGTCTGAATCTTGTATTTATGGATGACTTAATGAAGCAATCATATCTTAACGAGTTTATAATAATCTTAACTTGCCAAATATCTTCTAAGAGATTCCTGTTTTTTCTGAGACAACATTTTTATAATGGTTGCCACCAGTTCATTTGTCGTTCTTTGTGTATGCTACTTTCATTATTTAATGGTTTAATTTTTGATTTTCACACCCATGCAGAACGGGACCTACTTGAGGAATGGACCAGGACTGTGGCACATCGGAGACTACGACTTCCGCCACCTCTTCGACGGCTACGCCACCATCGTCCGCCTCTGTTTTGAGAACGGCCACCTCATGATGGGTCACCGCCAGATCGAATCCGATGCATATAAAGCTGCAAGAAAAAGCAATAAACTTTGTTACCGAGAATTTTCTGAAGTCCCTAAGTATGACAACTTCCTAGCATATATAGGAGACTTGGCCAAATTATTCTCGGGGGCGTCGCTAACTGATAATGCCAATACTGGCGTTGTTATGTTAGGGGACGGCCGAGTGGTTTGTCTCACTGAGACAATTAAAGGGTCGATTGTGATCGACCCGAGTAACTTGGATACGTTAGGGAAGTTTGAGTATAGTGACTCGTTGGGTGGATTGGTCCACTCGGCGCACCCTATAGTGACTGACTCGGAATTTTTGACGTTGTTGCCGGATTTGTTGAACCCTGGTTATGTGGTGGCAAGGATGGAACCGGGTACTAATGAAAGGAAGGTGATTGGTCGGGTTGATTGTCGTGGTGGTCCATCACCGGGGTGGGTCCATTCGTTCCCCGTGACCGAACATTATGTGATTGTGCCTGAAATGCCATTGAGGTATTGTGCACAAAATCTTTTAAGGGCTGAACCCACACCATTATACAAGTTTGAGTGGCATCCTGAGTCCAAAGGATATATGCATGTCATGTGCAAAGCTAGTGGCAAATTGGTAAGCATTTCCTATACAAAAATATAATGTTTGAGGTGAAGTTTTTGCTTTTGTTATGGCAATAATTGTCTGAAATAACTCGTATTTGTCGTAAAAATTGAAGGTCGCAAGCGTCGAAGTTCCTCTATTTGTGACATTTCACTTCATCAACGCGTACGAAGAGAAAGATGAAGATGGGAGGGTGATTGGAGTTATAGCCGATTGTTGTGAACATAATGCCGACACAACCATCCTTGACAAGCTCAGGCTTCAAAATCTCCGATCATGGTCTGGGAAGGACGTTCTTCCCGATGCTAGGTACATACGTTTACCAAATAGATTTATCCTTTAGCGAATCCTTTTACAATCGAAGATCAAATGCTTTAAGTATATAATATTTATATACGTCAAACTCATACACATTTCTTTGACGAGACTTGAAACCTTGACTTTTAAACATGTTTGAATCTAACAGGAACCCAAGTACCAAGTACCTAAAATATCTGCTTTTAGTGTTATAGCAAGTTTAATAATCATATATATGCAAAATTGCAGGGTTGGGCGATTTAGAATACCATTCGATGGGAGTCCAAATGGAGAACTGATAGACGCTCTAAACCCCGATGAACATGGAAGGGGGATGGATATGTGTAGCATCAATCCGGCTTATTTAGGCAAGAAATACAGATACGCTTACGCTTGTGGCGCTCAACGCCCTTGTAACTTCCCCAACACCCTCACTAAGGTAAAAGTTCTCATCGAATTTTGCTTCTTCTATGCTCTTAACAGTTTGAACAAATTCGATGGTATTAACCTATTTTCGCATGTTAAATTTACAGATAGACTTAGAAGAGAAGAAAGCGAAGAACTGGCATGATGAAGGTGCAGTCCCATCTGAACCTTTTTTTGTCGCACGCCCTGGTGCAACAAGAGAAGATGATGGTAAGTCACCATAATCCAAATCAACTTAAAACCATGATAAAAAGTCATTAAATTGGCCTTTTTCTATGCCCTTACTAACATTCATACGAACAGGAGTTGTGATTTCAATGATAAGTGACAAGAATGGTGAAGGGTACGCGCTAATATTAGACGCGTCAACATTTGAAGAAATTGCAAGAGCAAAGTTCCCTTACGGGCTTCCATATGGACTTCACGGATGTTGGGTTCCCAAGTCTTAAAAGGTCGACGTCGGAATTAATAAAATACGTATCAAAATAGACGTTTTTATACATCCGATTCGCCTAAATCATAGGTATACCTTGTTCAAAAGGGGCAATAGTTTGGTGTACATAATATCCATATATATATGTGTGTGTATATATATGTTATAAAGGGAACATGTAACATGTTTGTATATATTAGTTTTCTTGTATCATAATGAATGCAAAATACATTGTATATACAATACTATGAAAGTGTATATATATATACATATTCTGTATCTAGTATTCTTTTAATCTAATGATGGTTAGCAATGTAACATGAGTTGGGTTGTTCACGTTACTCAATCTAGTTACTTCAACTAAAAAATCTTAATCTATACTATATTATAAGTCATTTAACAAAAATTCTTAAAAACCATATTTTATGCACGAAATACTTTTATTGATGCATATTAAAATTTAAGATTACAAGTAAATTGTGCATAAGTACAACTTATTAGAGCTTTAATTCATATTTAAATTCGTGTAACTAATTGCAGATAAATATAATCAAATATTGGATAAACATCTCATTTTAAATATAAAAAAATCTAACATATAATTAAGATAATCATTGAGTTCTAACAGAATAATTAGTTATTATCTTTATAAAAAAATTATATTATTAAACCTAAATTAAATTATAATTAAAAAAATTGAATTAAGAAAATTATACCAAAACATAAAAACTTTTAAAAAGATTAATTTGATATATATCTTTTTAAAAAAATTTATGATATTTTCAAGTTTATATTTTATTCAAAAATAAAATAAAAACATTATCGCTTTTTTCAAAACTACATAAAACCGTATTATATCGATATAAAAAATGAATAAAACAAAAGACTGAAATCAAGATATATCTCGATGCATTGCACGAGTACCCTTCTAGTTTATTCAAAAAATTATAATATATAACTCAACTCGATTTTTTATGGTTGGATTGAGTTGAATTCATCTGGTTTTAAAAGGATGGTTAAACTAAAATATAAAACCTTAAAACAAAAAAAGTATTTACTAGTTAATTGTTTAACATCTCAAACTATTACAATCAATCTTAATAGAAAATGAAAGGTTTAAATAGATTTAGACATGATTTGAATTTTGGAATTGGTCTCTGGGGTTGATTTGGTCTATCCCTCACCAAACCCTAATATTTTGATTTGTAGATTTTAGATATGAATTAAGTTTCAAGCTCATTCAAGTCAAATTGTTTGACCAATTTTTTGAGTTAAAATATATCGTTAGATTTATGTGCACAGTGTATACTGCACCTCTAACTACTTATTATAAGAACATGATAAAAGACGATAGATCGAATGTGAGTTAAGGTAAGAAGCGTAAAAATATATCTGAATCATTAATCATCTTTAATCTCAAATCCATTTATGAATCTTTTTTGATATGGAGATCTATGTGATGAAACTCGATGTATCTCATCCTAATATTACATCTAAAGGTGAAAATCACTTCCTATGCTTCTCATTTTTAACTCACATTCTCACTTAAACTCAACTCCATGATCAAATTCTTATTATCCATTAAAAACATATATTATTTTATAGCAAGTAGAAGGATATAATTAAGTCTAGTTTTTAATATTGCAACTGTACATTACTATTAAAATAATATTAAAAACGTATCCGCACAATACAGTAAGATAAATTTTAGTTATAATGTTTCTTTTTATAATTATGGTGTTAGAAAAATGATAATATTTTTATAATTGAATTTGAAGACCCATACTTTTTTTTATCAATGTTAATATCAAATTAATAATTTAAAAGTTTTCGTTTTTTATATTATCTTTTTAGTTCAATTTTTTAGTATAAGTTAATTTAGTTTTGGGCAAATTGCATGAAAAAGTAACTTACTTTCACTTGATTCATATTTTGGGTAACATACTTTTAAAACTTCCATTTTGGTACCTAAAATGTAAAGTTTTAAATATTTAAGTACTCGGGTAACCCAGTGAAGACTAATTTTAGACTAAAAAAAGACTAATTTTAGATTAAAAAAATCCACGTCACTGACTAGGTCAACAAATAATACCGAGTTGGATACCACATCACTCGCCACGTCAGTATGATAATCAGTTAATACTTCAACCAGTTACACGGGTACTTAAATGTTTAAAACTTTGCATCTTACGTACCAAAATGAAAGTTTTGAAAGTACGTTACCCAAAATAGGAATCAAGTGAAAGTACGTTACTTTTTCATGCAATTTGCCCTTTTAGTTTTAATAACAAAGTAATTTATTTTAGGTTCAATAATAATGTTTTTTATAAAAATGATTTTTAGTTCAATCTTTTTATTATAATTTATTTTAGGTTTAATGATATAATTTTTTTTATAAAGATAATAATTAAACATTTTGTTATAACTTAATGATTATCTAAATTATATTTTAGATTATTTATATTTAAAATGAGATATTTATCTTATATTTTGATTATGTTTATCAATTAATTATATGAATTGATCAACATATAGCTTTAAAAAATTATACTCGTACACCATTCACTTGTAATATTGAATTTTAAATAATTTATATTATTAATCAGTACTTCTTTAAAAAAAGGTTTTAAATTTTTTAATCCAAAATGCATAATTCAATATATTTTCACATTTAATCAATAACTAAATATATAATTTTTGATAACCAATAGAAAAACACTCACATGTATTTTTCACATAATATAATAGAATGTTGCGTAACATGATGACAGGAGGAGGATGGCATTTTTGTCATTTTAGCGGTCGATGAACTGGTGAGCTGTCCTTTTCATCCAACTGTCGTTTTCCGTAACCACCTCAAATTATTATCGGGAGTCGATTTCGTTAATCATTTAACAAAATTAATATATGAATCTTAATTATTAATTCTTTCAAAATCACGTTTCTTAGTAAAAGTGTTTAAAGTTTAATCAATAAATATGATGATTTACATATACACTAGTTTAACCAAATTGATTGGTTTCCGATGAGAAGGAGAATTCAGGAGAGAAGCATAAGAAAAGATCTCTACCTTTGAATGCACATTAGGATTAGACGCATCAGATCAGTCACCGTATCAAGCACGATTCATGAGTGTGTTTAAGATTAAAGGTAATCAAGGGTCTAGATCTTTTATTACGCTTCTCATCTTAACTCTACTTCTCACACACGATACTCCACCTTAACCAAATTAGGTGCTTAAGTATCTTTATATGGTCTCTTGTATTGGGTAAGAGTCTTTTATCCGCTAAGAGTTGAATTGGTTACCAAAACTTCTTGTTAGTCCAACCGTGAATGTTGGTTGAGTAAAAGACTTTGGGGCTTGAAATACCAATGCAAAATTGGTCAACGTTTATCAGATAAAGATCATCATCCTGACTTACCACTACAACAAAGTTGAGTTTATAGGACGCCACCAATAACTAATCGTCTTAATAGACCATTTTATATAACATAATTTATAGGACCAAAAAATTAAGTGTCATATCTAAAGACGTTATAATAAGTTCATAGGACACTATTGGACGTCGTAACAAGTTTATTAGGACACTTTTATAAAAAAAATCATCTTAGCTATTTCATAAGACAATTTATTTTAAACTTTCTTGTAAGTTTAAATGATTTTTTTTTGCTCTAATACCATATAGCAAGAGAGGGTAATTTGGGTAATTTTTTTAATATTAGGAAAATGAAACTGATTACAACTACTTATACAAAGGAAATGAAAAGCTAACTCAAGCTATTACAACCTAACCCTAATTAAAACAGATGGTTAACAATCAACAACTAATAACACCCAACTTGCCAACTTCCAAAATGTAGAAAGACAATATTGTCCCTTGTAGAAGGACTTATGCCATGCTTATGGATATTGAAAGGGACATCAAAAAATTTAATATATTTGTTGGTCTTAACTGGAAATATGTTAAAAAATAATCAAAACATCGTATTTTAGTTGATACTTCTTCATACATATTGTTATAATAGAAATTTTCTAAACCTTCTGGGATTGGCTTAATCGTCAATAAGAATAAGCTTTTTGGGATTTTTCTTATGAATCCTACAAGGTCACTCGGAGTTTTCCTAGCTGTTTTTCAAGATCCATAGGATTAGTCGAGATGCATACAAGTTAGCCCGAATACCTAAGATTAATAAAAAAAATGGGAATTTTTATATTACCTAACATGAAATACTTAATTGGTAAACAAACGTTCTCTAGACAACACTTACAAAACTGTTTATTTTAGATGGCGCTTACTAACAACTGTTAGTAAACAACTCCTAAATCTAATTAGCGAAACTATTGGAGGTGATTAAAATTGTCGATTGTTATGAAAAGATATATATGCTATATATTTGATGGAATTAAGGAAATGTATTATAATATCATAAATAGAGAAAAACATATTGTAAATATGTAAGCAAAACTTAAGTATTTGATATATAGATATAGGGGAGGGATGAAATGCAAACCAAACTATTTGTATAAACTGTGAAAACCGTAGATTTCATTGTTTTTTCATTGAATTTTTTTTATGGAATTGTTTTATATGACGAAATTGTTTCAAATAATTCATTTCATGATGAAAACGTTTGATATATTCTTGTTTTTATGTAAAAATTAAATTGTTTCATCTATTTATCATTGTGATAAAATTTGTTTAATGAAATTAGTAGAATGAAGATGACAATGTCCATAATTATTTGAAACAATTTCATCATATTAAATAATTTTATGAAGAAGTTACATTAAAATAAACGATGAAATCGACGGTTTTTATGATTTGTAGATATGACTTGGTTTGCAAAATATCCCTCCATATATAAGAGAATGACCAAATCATATGTAATATCACGTACAAAATCACATGTGATTCACATGACCTTGCCATGTGACCTTGCCACGCGGCCATAAGGTCGTCCACACACATTTTTTGTCGTTATTGTAAAATCACATCCAATTTTGTACATAAATAAGCCATTCTCTTATTTTTTTACAAATAAGTATCATTCTCGTATGAACCTACATCTCTATATATAAAGGGAATAGTTCAAACTAGAATACCTTCATTTTACAAGAACGCGAAAGGTAAACATAAGGTAAGCATGTGATGCTAAATCAGAGACACGTACGACCTTTGGCCTGACCTAGGTTGCGTACCTAGTCGTCCGTACACCACTGGTTCCCTTATCACATGTTTTTTTAAACAGAAAGCATAACCTTAATAACAACTAGCAAACAAGGAGTATCATCACATGTGATAAGGGCCTTACTGATGTGATACTAAATCAAAGACACAAACAACCTTTGATGTGACATAAGTCGTAGACATCCTTCGCACACCACAAAGTTCTCTCATTTATATTATTACATATAATAAGAGTGTTCTTACGTTTACGTAAAATAAACACATGTACTTATTTAAACCTCGATCTATATATCTATATATATAAACAATATGATTTAATTAAATGTTAGATGTATATAAATTGGCAAACGAAAATTAGTCCATGTGCACACATGTAGATAACAACTTTAATTTAAATAATATATTATGCTTATAAATATTAAATATTAATTCAAATGATGGTGTCATGTGCAAGCAATTCGTATGTCGACGGTCGATATATTTTTTTAAATAATTTATCAAAATAATATATAAATCCAATACTTGAATTTAAAAACTTGTTGACTTAATTACTATGACACACTTCAAATATTTTTCATAAAATAAAACCGAAAAACTTATAAAAATCAGTATTTTATATTAATTGTTAATTAGTAAAACTTAAAATAAATATTCTTATAAAATATATAAAAAAAATAAAAATAAATAAATAAATAAATAATAAATATTAACATGGGTTGTGTTGTGGTGGTGGTCACCCCATGCCAATCATCCAACGTATCTCTTCTGTACTCCAGCTTGCTTTTCTTTGCGTTGGCGTCTACATGAAGGTTTATATACAATACGCCCAATGTCTCTTTTTGTCCTTTTCCTCATTCATAATAAATTTTTTTTTTAATTTAAATTAATCATTAAAATCACATTTCTTATATATAAAATACTCATTAAATACAAATACAATAATTGACAAATGAATGAAAGTGACTTTTGTCTAAATACAAGACAGATTTTGGGTTTGACCTACTGCATGCGCTAGTCTTAGCTATTGAGTGAGTACAAAAATAACATTTTATGTTTGGTGTCATTGGAATTGTGTTTCGTGTGGAACCGGTTAGAGTTGCCGATAATCAACTTTTTGTCCAAATAAGGTAGAAAATTAACTAGTACAAATGAGTATGAACAATCATTTTATAAAATTTATGTAATAAAGACTAACACAGAGATCTTAACACATGATAATTATGTCAAAACCATAAAAAAAATGTTTTGAACTGGTTTTGATGGTTGATGAACTAAACATCATACAATTAGTGTTTTTCCAGTATTTCATTCCCAAAAAAATATAATGTAATAGCAAACAATACACAAAACAATGACGTATTGACATTTCTAACACGAAGAAACATAACATTACGACGGCTTAAACGCATAACATGATAATGGTTGGTTAATATAGGTATCTGAAGTATGACATTTTTCGACCAATTTAACAACAAAATACATTTAATACAACAAAAACAATATAACAAAACATTAAACTATAGTCACTTAATAAAAATAAATGATCACAAACTTCGTCCAAACTAATCTCATGATAAGTCATAGCTATAAACAGTTAAACAAATTGCATGAAAAAGTAACGTACTTTAACTTGATTTATATTCTGGTTAACATATTCTTAAAACTTTTATTTTGGTATTTAAGATGTAAAGTTTTAAACATTTAAATATCTGAGTTTGTTATTACATCACCCACCACATCAACATGATAATTTTGTTGCATATTTTTAAAAACTCATCAAAACGATATTATATTTCAAACCTATTTTTCTTGATTCCTAAAAAGTAGTATGAAGATTAATTCAAAAACAAGTTTACATGGTCAAAACCGAAATGTATAAAAAAGTGGAATTTGATTATGAAAAAGATTTAAATATAAAATTTTAAAATAAAAATACTACCAAAAAAAAAAAAAAAAAATTCAAAAAATCATCATCATCATCATCTCACCTCCCCCTTTCCCTTTACTCTTCCGATTCCACTCCGTCTTCTTCTCTCTCTCTCTCTCTCTTCAATGGCGTCTCTCTTCAGTAGAGAAAGGATTCTCGGCCAATCCAAGAGAGACTCCGCCGGCTCCGCCATGAATGGAACCACCAACAGCTTCCGCTTCACCTCTGCCGCCGCCGCCGCACCCACCACTTTAGATCCATTACCATCTCCATTTGGTGACCTCACACCAACTCTATCTTCTACCGACCTCCGTGAAACGGCCTACGAGATCTTTGTTGCAGTTTGTCGTACATCCACTGGAAAAGCCCTCAGTTACACTTCCAGCAACGCATCAGCGTATACTCCTGATCGATCTTCGCAGTCGCCATCACTATCGGGCTCACCGTCGCAGAGATCGATCACTTCTGCTGCCGCGTCTAAGATGAAGAAGGCGCTGGGACTCCGATCTAGTTCGAGTGCCGGTAGTCCAGGCTCGGCTGGCTCCGGTACGGGGTCCGGTGGGAAGGGTAAGAAAACGGTGATGACGATAGGAGAGCTAATGAGGATTCAGATGAAGATTTCTGAGGCTGCCGATTCCAGAATTCGAAGGGCATTGTTAAGAATTTCTGCTGGTCAGGTATGATTGTGTGTGATTCGTGTATTTCATAAAAAAAATCAGGGTTTCAATTTTAGATGCTTAGATTTCGTGATGTGATTTGCTGGCTTGAATTATATCCTAATATTCTTCTGTTTCAAAAAGAAAAAAAACGCTTTTCACTTTGCAAGATTGAATGAATTAATTCAAGTTCAAAGTTATGTATTCTGATGTTTTTGAAAGAAAAACCATTACTACGTTATAGGATTGCATAATTTAGCTGCTAAATTACCAACAAAATTCTCATCACTTTTATGGAATTTACCATGTTTGACAATAAATCCAAAATTTAGCTGTTCTTTTTGGGGGATGTAAGGGGTTTTTAATGCTCTGGTGCCTTTATTGGTGTTGAAAAATGAGATTTTTGTGGTAGAATTTAGAAAAACGACAATTTGTTTACAACCCATGTTTGATTACGTCTTCCATTAATACTACTAGAGAGGATAGGGATAATATGACAATAGCAAGGCGGTAAAATGGCTGTTGTTGACTTGTCTATCAAAACCATGTGGTCTTGTTGAATATGATACACATTCAAACATCTAATAAGATTGTGGTTTTGTAGATATAATAAAGTCTAGTGATCAGATAAAAATGTCAATATATTTTCAATCAACAACTTCATAATCATATCAACTAGACAATTCTTATCCAACCTTGGTCAAATTAACTAACATAAATGATCAATTTGGGTTAAGAGGACTAGAGGAAAGATGGAGAAAATGCTAATAATTTCAATAAATTTTATTGTCTAGACAGAAGTGATGTAATTGATATGATCATGAAGATACGAGTATGTAATTAGAAAAACTATGAAAGTACGCTGACTATTTTATCTATTTTTCCTAGTAATTACTATTTTTTCTGGAAGAAGAGATACACTCTGATCTCTGAGTTCAAACCTCAAATGTTTTCAAATTTTAGTATTGATTTTGATTTTGCTACAAACTTGACACTAACAAGCTCTTGTTTTTGAAGTTCTACATGGTTCTTATAAAAAAAATAAAAGAATTCGTGTCAAGTTTACAATTGCAAATTATACCTTTTGATCTCAAAAGTCAAATTCATGTGAACATAATATCCATGAAAGTCTGCTTCAAGTTTACCCCTTACATTCTAAGTTTTGTTGATCAGGCCACGGGAGTAAACAGTCTCTAGTTCTTTAGCAATACACTGTGGTTCTTGATCTCAAAGCTTTGATATCCATCATTGATTTAAACTTGTTATATCAGTATTAAGTTGTTGAAAATGTTAAGACCCTTTTATGCATTTGTAGTTTATATTACATGGAACTGAAGTTAAAAATAGTGGCAAGTATAACTCCCAACACAATCTGTATTGCTTCCTTTGATGCTTAATGTAGGTTGCCTTCTTAAACTTCAATTGTTATCCTCTATGTCTAAGGGGCTGTTTGGTTGGTTTTCCATTAAGTGATGTATGGATAAAGTTGTCTGTTTGGATTAATCTGTCTGTATAAATTTGGAAGGTTTTTGTTTGGGAGAGATTTTTTCATAGATGGAATGAGTGTGTTTTTAATTGGGAGGGTGGGTCTGAAAAAACTTGGCTTTCGGCATCAGGCTCCTCCCTAGAAGCTTACTAAATAAGCCACTTTCTGTATCACTAAGCCAGTAAGCCACTACCAAACAGTCATATATAGCTGACTGAATAAGCTGTGAGTTCCATTAATCTCATTAAGCTGCTAATAAACAGACCCTAAGCTGTCCAGAATCTCTTTCAGACCGTGACACTTTGGGGCTAGTTATACTTATTTATTGAACCTTAATGCTCTAAAGCCAGAAGTGCACGTTTTATAACGTCTCTCCAAAATGGTCTTTGTTGATTTGATCCTTTTTGTCCTCTTGGTTTTTTGTTGACTTTTTTCATAATCTCATAATAGTGACAATCTCACTTAGCTAGATGTTCAAACTTATATCATCATATATGCTAAATGTCAATGTCAAAATGAATATATTTATATTTGGTAATGGTGTCTCGTGAGTGCATTGTTTTTGTCTAGAATTGCCTCGAATGCGTATTATTTCTTCCAAATGTATATATTCTGAGCGTCGCTATATTTACTGGTAACAGGTTGGGAGGCGAGTTGAGTTGATGGTTCTTCCACTAGAGCTGTTGCAGCAGTTCAAAGCTTCAGATTTTACTGACCACCAAGAGTATGACATGTGGCAGAAGAGAAACTTGAAAATGTTGGAGGCTGGACTTCTTCTACACCCTCATGTACCACTTGGAAACTCCAACACTGCTTCTCAGAGGTTGCGACAAATTATTCATGGTGCATTGGACAAGCCAATCGAGACTGGAAGGAACAACGAGCCCATGCAAGTCCTACGTAGTGCTGTTATGTCCCTTGCCAACAGGTCGTCTGATGGATTGTCAGAATCATGCCATTGGGCAGACGGGTTTCCTCTGAATCTCCGACTCTATGAGATCCTTCTAGAAACCTGCTTTGATGCTAATGATGAATCATCTATTATAGAGGAAGTTGATGAGCTCATGGAACTTATAAAGAAAACATGGGGAATTCTGGGCATAAACCAAATGCTTCATAACATATGCTTTTCCTGGGTCCTATTTAATCGTTTTGTTGGAACTGGACAAGTAGATAATGATCTGCTTTATGCTGCTGATTGTCAGCTAGTAGAAGTCGCAAAAGATGCAAAGACAACCAAGGATCCAGCATATGCTAAAATCTTGAGTTCTACACTCACTTCGATACTGGGTTGGGCCGAAAAAAGACTTCTTGCTTATCACGACACATTTGATAAAGAAAATGTTAATTCTATGCAAAGCATTGTTTCTCTAGGGGTATCAGCAGCTAAAATCTTGGTAGAAGATATATCTAACGAGTATCGTCGCAGAAGGAAAAACGATGTTGATGTGGCTCGAAGTAGGACTGATACATACATCAGGTCATCACTCCGCACTGCTTTTGCTCAGGCAAGTTATTTTTGCAGCTATATTGTGTGGATTGTTTAGATGTCATATTTGTAGTCAAACAAAAATCATGCCAAAATTTCTTGCAACAGCCAAAACTTTTCATGAGCATCCCCCCGTTTTGCTGATATGAAAGCATATTCACATTGTGTTTGTATCTCTGAAGTAAAATTGATCTTATGCTTTACTGGAGTTCTTAATATTTTGGAATTTGGTGTGCCAATATGCAGATAATGGAGAAGGCAGATTCAAGCAGGAGGGCATCACGAAACCAGCCAAACCCACTTCCTGTCCTTGCTATTCTTGCAAAAGATGTTGGTGAACTAGCTAACAAAGAAAAGAAAATGTTCAGTCCTATACTAAAAAGATGGCATCCTCTTGCTGCTGGTGTGGCTGTTGCCACTCTTCATGTTTGTTATGGGAATGAGCTAAAGCAATTTATTTCGGGTATAACTGAGTTAACGCCAGATGCAGTGCAAGTTTTAAGAGCTGCAGATAAGTTAGAGAAAGATCTTGTGCAAATAGCAGTCGAAGACTCTGTCGACAGTGATGATGGTGGGAAGGCAATCATTCGTGAAATGCCACCATTTGAAGCTGAAGCTGCAATAGCCAACTTAGTTAAAGGTTGGACTAAGATGAGACTAGACAGGCTGAAGGAGTGGGTAGACAGAAATCTCCAGCAAGAGGTAGGTCTATTAGATTGGATTTCTTTTAGTAAAATCTGCATATCTCGTATGCATTTGATCCTTCTAAAACCTTTTATATACATGCCTACTATCTAGACTTTTGATGTTTTTCAACCTTAGACCAAAAAGTAGAAAAAACTTGAAAAATCTAACAAGATTGAAACCATGCTACATCATCCTCACCCTTCTTTGACCTATTCAAAC